GGCTCTGTGTAGTTAATGCTGCTCAATGTGAAAGCACGCAGGTGATGGAGATTTACCGCTGATTACAGAACCGCTTTACTGATAAGATGCACATTAAATATCGCATGCGATTTATCATGCAGCCCTAATTATATTATATTTTAGTTATGTTCCATATAGGGCTGTGCGATATGGAAAAAAAAAACTATCGTGATTTCTTTAATCAATTTTGGGCAATTGCGTGCAGTGTGAACGCTCTGATCTGTTAACATGGGCGCGGACAAAATACGCACCACAGACTGATTACTTAAGGTATCTAGTATTTTGATACTTAATTTCCATGATCTAAATATTCTTAAAAATGTAGGGTCATGTTGTCATTTGGAAGTGTGTAGGCTTTCTTGCATTATTAAGCTGTTGCATTAAAAAATGGCAATAATATCGCTTATCGCAATTATTTCTGGGGCAATATATCGCACAACAAAAAGTTGTTATCGTGACAGGCCTACTAATTGGTTTTCTTTTTGAAATATTTAAAATTCACACTGAATGCTTTAATGACTGTAAAGCATGTCTGTGTGTGTCAGAATCGTGATTAAAATCGAAATCGCAAAATTGATCAAAGAAATTGCGATAGTTTTTTTTTTTGCACAGCCCTAATTGCCAGTAATAGCTGTATGTCAGATTTGACATAATTTGTTCAGAATTGTATTCAAATAATTTATTCAGCTGAAGTTTGACAAAAATTTGTTTTTTGTAAAAAATTTGAAAAAATTCTCAGTGCACAATTGTGACCCTCCTCCATGATGTAAAGTGAGAGTCGACTATTAATAAATGCAAAAAACTTATTTCACTAAAACAGGCCCTTTTTGGCCTCTCAGATGTAACTTGAATTATTGTTGCCATTTTTTAATAACACACTGTTTCATTTAACGAACCGTATTTTGTGTGGTGAATTTGTAATGATATTTGCAGTTATTCTCACACATTCTGGCTGAGTGTCATGCTATTGCTTATGGCAGAGCTGCTCAACATAGATATACATAGCAATCCTTGGGGAAGGAATTAAAACAGTCCCCCATAATCCCCTATCTTCTAAAATCTGTATCCACCTTGGCGTCAAGAGGCACTGCCACAATGGGCCCCTCTGGGGCCACCTCATATGGAAGTGCTGTGGTGCACTTTGTTGCATGGCACAGTGGTACATCACTGGTTGACAGGATCAGCCTCAGAGGAGCCTGGGAGAGCAGTCTAGCTCAGGGACGTTGATGAACAGTTTGAGCTCTTATTTCTTGATGGAGTGAAGAGTGAAAAATTATGCTATGAAATGGCACAAAGAATCATATACTTTGCCACTTACAAAATAATGAATAAATAATTTGTCATGCAAAGGAAGCTCAGACATACAGTTTTCATGTGGTGCAAGCTTGGGTTCCTCATCTTGTTTTATCTGAGCCTTACATTAACAGTGATATTTACAGCAAGGATACAATTTAAAACCCTGTTTGTTGTGGCTTTTGTCTATATAAAAATGCTTCTCAAAATGTTTCCCATTTTTATAAATTCACAGCATTATAGGCGCTGTTTGTTGTTTTTGAGATTATACTAAAAGGTTGTGAGAGGGTTTCTTTTGGTCTGCTTTTGTGACATTGGATATTAGGGATGCACCGATACCACTTTTTCCAGTACTCGCCCGATACCGATACTTTTATTTTTGGTACTTGCCGATACTGAGTACCGATACCGATATTTTTATTGCATTTGTACATTTTTTAAATATTGGGTACAGAAACCAAAATGGTACACTGTAAAAAATGTTCACCCCTTTCAACTTAAAAACGTAAGTTTTGTGGCTGCCTTAAAATTTTAATTTAAATCAACTTAAAAGTACAAGTCATTTCAACTCACTAATTTAAATCTTGCCTAGTGCTGAATTGTTTTATTGAA